CCCACGAATGGTCGGACTGCTGTCAAATTTTTACACGTTTCTTTTAAAGGTTGGTGCTAACTGGGAAAAATATTAATTCAATACTAGCACCGACGCCTGTGTGTCAGACCGGGGACTTTTCAATTGGCCTGTTAAGAGGGCAACGCATCGTTCAACTCGACAGACACTTTCGTTAGCCATTCGTAAAAGAGCCCTTTCCCTTTTTCACCTACTCATTTCATGGCACATTAAATATTTACACCCGAAAAATGTTTGACCCTTGCCGCATATTTGTGGCTTTTCAGTCATTTTTGGGCAGATTTACATACACATATAGTTTATATAACATTTGCATTAAAATGTCGAGTGTGCATGCAAATATTTATAATGAAGAGCGCGAAAAAGGAAAGGCCGCGAAATCTAGAACAGTTGCCGTGGGGGGGTCGGGTCACAGACACAGCTTTTCCCACTTTTCTGCGGCCATTTTCAGTGACATTCAATTTTTCGAAACGAAATTGAAAATGCTGCGCGGCGAAAGCCGCACCATTGTCGGGGTATGTCGGTTAAACCATTCTCTGTTTGCTGATTCCCAACCAGCACCGGCAACTTTTATGCTCTGCCATTATAATTAGGCTCAAATTGCTGCACTTTGCTTTGCATTTTAATTACTCAACAACGACTCGCAGGAAGAAGAAAGGCATCTCGGAAATGTTGCACAATTTTCCCAGCGAGAGTGAAAGCGAGGGGCGCTAACAAGTTGCTGCTCAGCTCAGCTGCCTCGCTGCCTTGTCATGGGGCTGCCTGCCTGTCCTTCTGTCACTACCAAAAACCTCCTGCGCCTGGCCGTGCTCCTGCTTCTGCTCCTGCTCCTGCTGCCACGCCTCCGCGCTCGACAGTCGTCGGGGATAGCATTTCAAGCAAAGTATTTAATTTCCACATCATACACACGGCCGCCCAGGCAAACAATGGATGGGGCGAAACATAAAATGTGTGCCAAGGCGAAGGCTGCTGGCTGTTTGGTCCATTCAACTCGGTTGGAGTAGTGCACAGAGGAAAATATTATGAAAGTATACCTCAAAAATTATTATTTTATTTAAATCGTTTGTAATACCAAAAAATTACGTATACGCACTGGTGTAATTAAACCCTTGAAGGATACCATAATTCTAGTCAGAAGCTGTGAAGAAGTCATTTCCGACCCTATAAATCACATATATTCTTGATCAGTATAAGCAGCTGAGTCGATCTAGCTATATGCAACATGAATACATTTTTTTTTTAATTTTGAAAATTTATAAGGGGTTACATCGTTCAAATTTACAAAGAAATTTACAAAAATTGTAATATGATTAAATTTAAAATCTGAGTAAGCAGATTTAATAACCCATTAAAAACCAACATAGGAAGGCTTTTCGAATTAAAATGTATGCTTTTTGGCTTAGTTTCAAGCATTGTTTTGCAGAAAAAATTGGCAACATAATTCGATAAATCTTGATTCAAACAATGCGAATATTTTAATCTTAATTACAATCGACTTCTTGACTTCTTAACCCTTTGAAAACTAGCACAGCTTTACTTTCAGAATGGAAATGAAATAATTGGTATTTTATGCTTTTATTTTAGAGTTCATAAAAATATAAATATAAAATATAATAATGTAGGGATTTTTTTTAGTGTGAGAAAAAAAGTTACCATTCTCGAGCTGCAAAAAATTATATATAAAAGCAAAAGGTAAGCAAGAACAGCTGCCAAGCAGAAAACTATGCCATACCTTTGTTATTCTTTCGGTTTTACTTTGAGGGGGACAGAAGAGTCTTCAGGTGCCATTTTAAAAGCATGCTTGTTAGCGATATGAGCAAAAAGCTTTGAAAGAACAGCGGAATGTTAAATGAAGACTCATAAACCGAAAGCATTATTTTAGGGAAAATATTATAGGTATTAAAATATATATTTTAAATATTATTATATTTGTTAACAATAGTAGATGATTTTTTAAAACTGAGTTTATTTATCAAAGTGTGATTCCCGAGTGCAAAAAATACTAATTAGAACCAAGGCTATCCTTGTACTTGTTGTACTTGTTGATTAAATATTTACACACTTTATTAAATAAACAAAATTGACTACATTTATTTGTAGGTAAAAGTTTTATGTCATATCTTTAACTTGGGGATTTCTGTGCACCTTTCTGAATTGTGTTTCTTGATTCATATGCTGTCGCGGAGCTTCCTCGTTCTCATCCATTTTATTGGTTTAATTTTGTCACGTTTTCGGGGCGGAGAAAGTGTGCCGCCAAAAGAAAGGAAAAAAGATGGAAAGCAGGGAAAATGGTAGACAAACAGACAGACAGACAGCGCGGAGCAAAAGGTTCTTGCAAATCATTTCCATTTCAATGCTGCTTTTTATTTCCATTTTATTTCTGCCTTTTCCGAATAAATATAAATAGCAAAATTTACCATTTTGTGCACCGAGCAGCGACTTTCGAAAGTTTTCAACGAAAGTTTTTCGTTTTCAGGCAATTGTTTTTCTCGATTTTCATCTATATACATATATATCCCTCTGCCCTGCTGCCTTTACCTGTCACCCAAATCAATTTTGGATCCTTAAAGCTGATGATGATTTAAAGATTTGCCTGGGATTATAAAGGCATATCCGACCTTTATGTAGCTGCAAGCGGTGGACCGAACAAGCTGAGACAGGTGGAAAATTCGGAGGGGCGAAGGGCCAAATGTCGACGGTGACCCGCTGCCAAGTCAATAAATTCTCATTGCCTAAGCCATAAATCAGCATCATGGCGCGCTAAGTGTCATTTTTTGTGAGGTTCGGATGGCTTTTTACCAGGTGAAACCACAACAAGGGGCGGTTCGAATCGCCAAGATAGAGATGACAAGGCACTCAGAGAAAAATTATTTAAACATGAAGTGAAAGCTCACAAGAAAGAATACAAGAGCCTGGTTATCCGTGAAACTGACTTAAAAGGGATCTAGAGGACCGCTCAATCTGGATCTTTCCCTCTCTTTAGAGCTTTGCCTTAAATGTACAAGAAAAATAGCAATGACAGTTTTACTTACTTTACTTTACTTTACTTTTTCTTAGTTTGTAAATTAACTTAAACTCGAGGTTCTGTTTTGAATTTTAAAAAATTTTCCTTTAGTGTAGATTGGCTCGGAATTGGATCTGTTACTGGCAGCTTCACAATGCGCGTTATAATTTACACCTGGCGAAAAGCGAACGGCAGCAGGAGCAGCCAACAACCTCAACCAACTACAACTGTCATTTGACCTTAACCAGACAGGGGGCGGGTGCTTTCTGTGGGGCAAAGGAGGAGGGTATAGAGGTCATTCACGAGGAAGAAAAAGAGGGGCGAAACAAAAGTGGAAGCCGCAGTTGCTGCGGTTGGCTGAATGTGCTCCGGATACGGATCCAAACAGTTCCATTCTGGTTATATACTGCCATGTTATATATTTTAGTCAAAAGCGCAATTGCTTGATTTGAAAATTGTCAAACTGACAAAGTGCTAGAAGAGAAAAGGTGAAAGTTGTGGGGAAAAAGGAAAAATAAAGCTAATCACAGATAGTGATGGATGCTCATGCACAAAACTATTTCGTTTGTTCACAAAAATAAACAAAGTTGTCTTCGTTTTTATTTATTTCCATTTTAAAACACTTATATAAATAGGAAACAAAATCAAATCATCACGCTTAAGTCTTTGTTAATCACTTTTCTTTGCAATCGATTATCCTCAAAAGTTTACTAGGAGGCCGAACTAAGTTTTCAGGACTTTTAGCTGCTGCTAGCCCTTTACCAATACGGAAATCGATGGACTGTAACAGGACTAATAAAATGTTCCAATTAAACCCCGATTCGATCAATAAAGGACTCACAGTCGATGGTAAGGACAACTTAAAGCTTTACGCTCTTATTGGAAAGCCCATCTATCTGGCTCTTACGGCCGTGGAACCTCCACTTCGGAGGCGCCCCAGGCAGCTGCGTTGATTGCCGTAACAGCTTTTGAAATTAAGTCGCTGCAAGTCGGCTGTAACGCAGACTAGGGGTCGAGAGACGTGGGATGAGCGAATGATTTCAGGACCAGGGGACATTTGCCAGCAGAAGATGGAATGGGACCCGGGACAAGTCGGTATTACACCAAGGGAAAACCACATGCACTTTTGCATTAAAGATCATTTTTCTTCTTCGTTCTCTTAAGCTCTTTCTAATATATGAATAGGTTTTGTTTTCGTACTTCTAAGCACTAGCAGGTAGCATAGATTATGACGCTCTCCACGTAAGCAAATCGAATCTTTAAGAGCCCCTAAGCTAATTAAAACTTATCTTAATTTCCCATAAACTAAACTCCACACACAATTTAGCTAACATTTCAATCATTTTAATTTTTTGGAAGACTCTCAATGTGTCTTTTAGACTAATTACATGAAAATATTTGATATTTTTCCAGTGCAACGCGCAGCACACTCGCACAATTGACGCAATTGGAGCGATACTTTGATTTTATTTCATTTGCCGGCAACATCTGAGGAGCGGATGGGACGAGGCTCCTCGATGGGGAAAACGAGTATAAAATGCAGGCACACCATGGCCATGGGGAGAGACCGAACAGAGGACAAGGACGAGGAGGAGGAGGGGGATGTGGAGGAGCGATGAAGAGCCAACCGGCGAAACAGTTGCCAATAAAAATTGCATCGAAAACGCTTAACCAAGCAGCGTGCATCAAATTGATTTCATGCTCGTGAAACGTTGACTGTAGTTTTACAACGTGCATCATCCGCACTCGCACCTACACACTCGCAGGGAGCCCCAAAAAATATGCTACGCTTCTCCCCGAGTCGCACAAAAATATTGTCTGTCAATATTCGAATACCGCACATCGCAATCCACACCCGAAAACCCAAACCCAAATTCGGAAAACGAAGCGCAAGCAACCCAAAACCCATTGAGAAGCGAACGGTAACGAAATGTAATTTTTGTTTTCCCTTCCCTTCCCAAAAATAAAGGAGAATACAAAAAACAACAATGGACCCAAGGCAGCAAATCGAAAACGAGCCACGACTTGTGTATGCTCTGCCTGGACACTATATTTCAAAGTGTATTCTAAGCTGTTTCATTCATGCATTCGGCAAAGCAGTTTTCATATGTTTCAAAATAGTTTTTGGTTTTTCCACATCCATTATAGCTGATTCCTACACAGCTCTTTGCCTTGAATACAAAAACAAGTTCAGGTTTAATCTTGCACTTACCGGGCACGGTAGGAGCATCATTACACTTTTCTGGACAACAAGAAATAAAGGTAAATTATATAGAATCTTATAACTTAAATGTTAGTATAATTACCTTTATTATAGCCATCAATCAAAGTGCAAAAGGTGAGAACAGCAAAGATAAAGAAAATAAGAATAGATTGCATCTTGTAAATCCGCGCTCGAAAAGTCTACCGGGTAGAGTCTTATATAGTCCGGAAACTTAATCAAATTTAACCATAATTCGATTCAAGCTGAAAATAGTTACAGCCGAAACGGATAGATTAGTTCTGCATAATAGAATTTGCGAATAGTGCTAGGTGCCACACAAAAGGGTATTTAAGAGCGGAAAAGCAAAAGTGGCGTGCGTGAAAAACGTGAAAATTGCCGCCGCTGTTTTCGATTTTTACGCTCAATCCCTCAATCAGCAACTACCTTCACGCCCCGTCGAGCCCCCGCTCGCATGTGCCAACGAATTCATGGCGCCAAAGAGGGAATCCAGTTATCCTGGCATGGGAATGGCGCATGCCTTTAAACTTGTTATTTCAAGGATATGCACATCGCGCGCCCGCTCGCTCACTCCGGCTTCAAACCAAGAAACAGACAGGGCTCTCCCAGCTCTGAGCCCCCGAAAAATCTGACAATCGGCGGCTTTGGCAACAATTTGGCTGTGTTGTTGCCAGATATTTCTTTATCTCCACATAAGCATCGCGTAAGAATGAACTACATATTACGATTGTGCTCGCAATAATAGTGATGCTGTGTGTTAACTCAAACTCATTACCACTTGAAGATTAAACACATCAAAATTGCACCTAGTTGTACATTTCAATTAGCATGCAATTTTTTTTTATTATTATCAAGTATTAAGTACCTTTTAATTTGTCAAAGAAATTTGTTACGAAATGAATGGGAAACTGCAAAAAACAGTGATAAAATTTTGTTTATATGTAAATTTAGTTTCGAAAACCGGATTTCGTTTTAGAACCGTGCCCGTGTGCAATTGAATCGGAATCGGGTAGCTGTATCATATCTATTCAATTTGCAACTCTCAGCATTGTTTGGCATGTTTAGCAGCTCACTGAGCAATTTGCTAGATGCCAAGCCCGAGAGCCAGAGCCAAAGCCAAAGCAGTTGCCAATTGCAATGTGAAACTTGCCGAAAAAAATGCGCTTGATCCCAAGATGAAGGATTCAACAGAAGGGCACTTAAAATATATAAGCATATATATTCGGAAAATATTTAATATGCGCTCTTTCCAGGGATAAAATGGTTCTTGAACTTTAATCTCCGCTCAATCCGTCTGTTAATGTTCACGATTTTGTGATATTTTTCTTCCTTTTTTGTGATATAGTAATAATAATAATACCTTATGTGTGGCTTTGGTATGTAATCGCAGCTGGAAACAAAGTGCAGTTTGGCATTTTCACACAGGAGGCTGAGAAGCTAGCACTAAGGCTAAAAGCATAAGGAAGTTTGTTATTTAAGTTGAAATTATTATTAATCTATGCTATCATATTGGTATTAAAGCCAATAGGAATACGGGGTGCAAAAAAAAACACTTGATCTGTAAAGGTTTCTGCTTTAATCCTTTAAAAAATAATCATTTTCTGTAACTGGCCGATCAGCCAACAAGTACTAATGAAGAAACACCTTTATTTTCAAACCTTGAGTCTCTTAATAGTTACTTTTGTGCAATTATTCAGCAATTAGTTTCCAGTCGCTTGGCTTTGATAGGTAGATTGGCACACATACTTACTTACACACCACACCTGTGTGCACACATGCACATCAATCAAACCACAGAGCCCAGAGGATCGACCGCAAATTGGTTGTGGCAATCGATGGCTAATCGAAGGAGGTAGGTCCTCCAATCGCTGAAGTGTCAATGGCAACATTCCATAAAGCACAACTGACACTTCGTAGGGAAAGGCGGTCCCCTGTGCCCCCTTTCCCTTGTTCCTGTGGCAACTGAATGTGATTTAAGGCCCAACTAGTGCTGGATTTCCCGGCAGCAGAAAAACGCGACTGGTGTGAAAAAAAAGTGAAACACAACTGGAACACACAAGTTCACACGCATATATGGAAACGGGGCGGGCGGAAGAGTGTTTTTTGGGGGCGTGGCGCGTCAAAGTCAGTCAAAGCGAAGGCAAAACCTTTAGTCAAGTTTGAAAGATTGATTAGTTTTTAACAACTTGTGACTGGAAAGCGGAGCAGGGCGGTAGGAGCTGCTGTTGCGAAAAAGTCGGTGAAGGGTCTCGTTCGGGGCTCTAGATCTCGTTCTACGTTATGCGTCCTGGTTTTCCCTAGGCTACACTTGCGAAAAAAGTAATGGAAAAGGAGATATGTTTGCAATATTAAATTAAGTATTTAATGATTAGAAAATATATAAGCTTTGAAGATGTAAAAGGAAATAACAAGTCCTACATAATATATCGAAAGATAATGTCGAGCTCAATTAGAATAAATCTAAACTTGAGCATATATAATTTTAAAATACTAAAAATTATTAATGCCGTATTTTAAGTGTATTTATTTCTTGAAGTATCTTTTTGATATAAAGAAAAGGAAAACCAAATCTTTTGATTTTGAACAGTGCCAAGGATGAGTTCAACACGTGCACTGAATTAACACAGAGTTTGAGTTCTGGAAAGAGAGAAGGGCAAAAAGGTGGCCAAAGGAGAATGATATCCTGGCTAGGATATTGGCCCAAGCCAGCAGCCGGGTGAACGGCAGCAATTAGCACAGGACCAAACGCAAAGTTGTCAAAGAAGCTCCGGCAAAGGATAGGCAAGCACCATAAAATCCACTTCGATTTCTGGTTAGAAAGTGTGTTTATGGTCCTGACTGTGGCATTTTCCACTTTCACTCCCACCTCCCACTGCATGTGTGTCACCCACCCACACACACACACACACACACACTCACGCATGCAGAGAGAAAGCGGAGAGCTGCATACTGAATCACATTTCGTATTTGCATACGAAATGTATTTGCGCTCAGCGAAGCACAACAATAAACATTGTAAATATATATATTTTTTTCTCCATTCTTTCCATGTTTTTTATATTTTTCATTCTTCATGCGCTGCCGTATTTTATTTTATTTATACTGACTGTATGTTGTGGTTCCTTCGCCACTCCTTTCAGCCTTCGCGTGTCGTTTATCGTCCTGCCTGGTGTTAGTTTTTATTATTATATCATATATTATTCAATTGTCGTTGCCTGCATAGACCACGAAATATATGTTTCTCTGTTGGTTTTTGGTGGCCGGATTGAAAAAATATTTTTGATTGGCAACTTTAACAGCTTTTAACATTGGCCTTGTTTTGTTGTTTTTTGTTTTTAAATGTCACATATGTTACAAATGAAAATCAAAAACAGGAATAGATTACATAAAAACCATCTGAGCTTTTAAATGGTTTCAAAATTTAAACAAAAAATTTGTTTAATTAGCAAAAAAATTGAATAATCCCAATATTTTTTTAATATAAAATAACTAAAAATAAAATAAACATAGTTTGATATCTTAATCAAAAATCTTTTGATCAAAAAAGCACCAACGGAAAGCAAAATTTTTTATTAATTTAAAGCGTTTTTAAAGGGTTTATTATTATTTATTTTTTTGATTGCCGCATTTAGTTAATTCAACTAATTTGCTTTAGTTCACATTAACTTCACTTGCAGTGGCAACTCCAACAACAACAACAATAACAATTAGCATCACGTGGATAATTGAAAAAGCAAAAAAAAGAAAATATGGAAAAGGGCACAGAACCAACATCGACCCGGTCAAGTGAAACAGATCCAGCAGATAGCCAGGCTCAAACCCAAGGAGCGGATTCTAATTAAATTCGCGCTCGCACTTTCATTTAAGCAAATTTGCAATGTGGGCGTGGCGCGAGTGCAGAAAAGAGGCGGCGGGGCCAAAGTTGAAGGCAACATTAATTGCAAATCCGCAGAGGCCGCCGCACACTGCAAGAAAAACAGGCAGAAACGGGAGGGTGGGCCGTGGAAAACCCAAAGCATGAGCCTTGTCAACCGGCGTTGTCCTTTCCGAGCAGCGCGGCAGCATCCTTGACCCGTTTTTGTGTGCTCTGCTCTGCTCTGCTCGCTTTCCCTCCTTTTGCCGCGCCGCAAATGCCGCAATATTAAAATGACTTTTTCTTACTTCATTTCATTGCATTTCATGAACAATTTAAGCCAATTGTGCAGTCTTGTCCTTGCTCCAAGCCTTCCCCAGGACCTTATAAATTAATTTCGCAAAATCAGTTTACTGCAGCAGCAGAGTCATTGGTGAATCGTCGTGTTGGCCCTTGCTTCAAATTAAATAAATATCTAAAAAGGATTTTTCCAGGCAAATAAAATACATTTAAGAGCCATGGAAGCAAGAATAAAAAGGGAGACTTTAAATCTTATTAAATCAGAGACAACTGCTTATTTATTTATTAAAAAAAATAATAAAATCGATATTTGTATATTTTGATTTTTAGGTAAATCAAAAATTTTTAAATATCATAACTAAACCAAAAATGCATTAATTTCGATACGGTAGTCAGTGTTGTGCTAGTTTTTAACAGGTTAATAAATCTGCATGCTCAAATTTTAATTTTAAGATTTTCCATTTTTTGACCATTTTTAAAATTGTTTAAAATAAAATTAGCCCCTAAAAAATGCTGATAAAAATTTGCAACAATTTTTTTCTTCCTACGTGCCTAGAAAGATTCGCCTTTCATCCTGATCGAGAATATATATGATTTATGGGGTCGGAAACGACTCCTTCACTGCGTTGCAAGTTTCAGACTGATATTTAAATACCCTACAAGGGTATTTTCAATAAATTTTCAGAGTTACACCTGAAACTCTTTTCTTTAATTCAATTATTGGCATTAGCTTTGTTTAAAAGCCTATCAAATTATATTTAGTGATTCTCTTATTTTTCCTAGCAATATATTCATCACAAACACAATTGTACAGACCAATTAAGCATTATTTTTTTGCATTTTCAGCAATCTCAAATTATTTTGGCCTATAGACGACGCTACAACCCATCACGTCGCTGGCACATACGATTTTTAATTAAATTCGAGCGGCACCTTACGTGCAACTTAACACGAAAATCTTATTTACACGCCAACCGCAATTTAATGTAGCATACATTCGAGCGCGCCCGGGCGGCAACCTTTTTATTTACGA